TTGAAATGCTATCAAACTAATTTCCACTTGAACTGCCTTTCCATTCTCGTATACTCGTCGAATGGACTTCCTCACCTCATTCTTGCGAAGAGCGTAAGAGGGCTATTCAACAAAGTAAATATATCAAAATAAAATTATACTAATTTTATCTCTAATTTTTTTACTATTATTTCTAATTTAGAATGTCCAAAATATTTACAATTTTTTCGATTTTGTCTGTTTAAATATAATTTATAAAATCATTACACAAAAGAAGAAGTAATGATAAAATCATAAAAAAAAAAAAAAACTATCAAAATTATATTATCTAAAAATTTGCATTAATGTGTCGGATAATATGCGACGCGTTGAAAGAGTTCTATTTAGGGAGAATTTTTCTCCATACGACTCGTAATTTTCATGTTTTGTGATAATTGTATGAACATTTATTCTATAGTTTGACAACCTTATTTTCCCTCCAACTTTTGGCTATAATTACATGTCAAAAATTCAAATGTCAGTAAGGGCAATTTCAACCATTGGAATGGGTACCCAATGTTTCGGGCATTGGATTTAAAATGCACTATTCATCCTATTTTTTTTCTTAAAAATATTAAATTAAATACTTATTTTTATATTTTTTATTTTTTATATTATATTAAAAGTCAATTTTACATTCAAAATATCACGTCAACACCTATTTATATAACATCATACAATTATTCAAATTCAAAATTTTTACTGTTCAAATACCAACTCAAAATCCAAACTACCGAACAAACATACTATCTCCTTAACATGATATGGTGTTTGGAGTTTCTTTATGCTACGTGGGCTAAAATTGTTCACATGTCGAAAAATTTTGAATCAAATCAAACACTTATTTTTTTATATTTTTTATTTTTTATATTATACTAACAATTAATTGTACATTCAAAATATCACGTCAACACCTATTTATATTACATCATACAACTATTTAAATTCAAAATTTTTACTGTTCAAATCCCAACTCAAAATCCAAACCCCGAAGATATCTCCTTAACATGATATGGTGTGTGGAGTTTCTTTATGCTACGTGGGCTAAAATTGTTCACATATCTAACATATTTATTGGCTTGTTCTTTCAAAATTTAAATTTGATTATATATATATATATATATATATTATTATTATTATTATTATTATTATTATAGAGTGTGTTTGTATGGGGTTTGGATTTTGAGTTGGGATTTCAATAGTAAAAATTTTGAATTTGAATAGTAGTATGATGCGATATAAATAGGTGTTGATGTGATGTTTTGAATGTAAAATTAATTTTTAATATAATATAAAAAAATAAAAAATAGATATTTGATTTGATATTTTTGAAAAAAAAAATAAAATAAACAGTAAAAATCCACTAAAATTCTTCAAACAAACACACATTTTTGTTTTAAATAAGATTAATGGTTGACTTTTAGATAATTTATTTATAAGTAATAAAATATTAAATTATACTTTCTCCGTTTATTCACTTTTCCATTTTTATCGGTCCACTTATCTTGTCACTATTTTTTTTAAAAGAATTATATACTTTAATTTTATTTAAAAAATATTAATTTATAATTTTTTTTTAATTTTAATTCGACTAATTAATTTTAATCTAAAATTATTTTTATTATACAATAAATATTTTTACTAATATATTCTTAATTATTTATTAATTGTATCCCTCTTAAATTCTCGTGTCTACGGTAAAACAGATATAATAACCGCGATGGAGGGAGTAATTGTATGTCATATGATATATATATAGATATATATATATATGTGTGTGAATTTAGGATGACTAATACTCCTCTGTCCAAAATTAGTTGGGATACAGTTGGACGAGATTAAGAACTATTGATATTATATTGGTAATAAATATATATTGTGGGTTGTAATATTATTTTAAAAACCTCAAAAATTTCATATTATTTATAATAAAAATAAGGGTTAGGTATGAGACAAAATCTATAGACTCAAATTATAATAATTTAATTCAATCAATATTACTAAATAATAACGATACAGTTTAACAATACATATTTTCAATATAAAATTAATTTTTAATAAAAATAAAAAATGTTAAAATAAATCTAAACCAAAAATGTATTATAAATAAACAATCTGCGATAATTTTGTTTTTGTAGATTTAAAATAACTATTGCAATATGTAGATGATGTTTTTGTAGTTTGTTATTTTACAATATTTTAAAAATATAACATCTCAAAGAATAAAATTATCTTATAATTAATATAGATTATGTTATTTCAAATTTTATAAAAATTAGCCCTATCTCGTCAAATCCTAATTCCGCTATAGCTAACATCAGCATTGATAATGATATAATTATTTATAATAGTGAGCTAATTGAATTAAAACGGACATAAATAATAAAACGAGACAATATATATAAAACAAATCGGGTATATAATATACTCCAACTGTCATCCAATCATCATCTATGTTGGAACTCCCGTTTGCGGATATATGAATAATGAGTGAATTTTTCTAATAGTTCGAACTTTTAGGTGAGACAATCATTCAGCATCCGATATGATATCAGATAGGTACATATTGTTTTGGAATAATGACTGAGTTTCTCTAATAATGATGGGTACGTATTGGTAACAGCGGCTTATGTATTTTATTTATTGAATAAGGCTTTCTTGTGCTTGCATAAATTATGCATAAAATATCTTTCTTTTATTTTTCTAGTATGAGGATCTTGTGTTAAATATAAATAAATTATTAATAACATAAAATAAGTTTGATAGTTTTTTTTTTTTTTTTCATTCTTATCTAATAAATTAGGTGAATTTTTTTTTTATTAAACTTTCTATGAATCACCTATCTATTGTACATATGACTTGATATTGCATACAAATATATTTTGTAAACTTTCTAATATAGTTTTCTATTCATTAAAAGATTTAAATAGATTATTTGAAGGTTTATTTATTTCTTTATTTAGTTTTTTACTCTTGTCTGAAAAAACAAAGTCATTTATATAACCGGCCAATGATCTTTAGTCGTTGTTACTTTGGGATGAAAAACAAAATATTCTATATATTTTACAGTAACGTTAGAGAGTTTTAGGCAATCATACAATATAAGATATTTTATGTATTTTTAATAAAATATATAATAATGAATTATGATATTTTATATAAAAATTTTATAATACTAAATAATGAAAAAATAATTAAATAAATTTAAATTTAAAATTGTACCAAAAAAATAGGTGCCATGTGCCATAGATTTTGCATATCTAATAGTATTAATTTTTTATGAAATATTATTATTGATTTAAAACAAATAAATTCTGTTTATTCATTTAACTTAAATATATATAGATGAGACAGTGATTTAGTAGTTATATTCAAAATTAATATATTTAGAAAAAGTCGAATCAAATAAAAATACTAAGGCTAAACTGTTTTTTAGTCCCGCAACTAGACCCTCTTATCATTTTAGTTTCGTAAGTGGAGCTTCTCGCAAACTAGTCTCATACGTGAAAAATTTTCGCTATTTTAGTCCTTCGGCGCCGGAGACGCCCGCATGGCTCGCCGGAGGTGACGTGTCCGCCAGGTCAGCGACACCTGGCGCTGACCTGGCAGACACGTGGATTTTTTTATTTATTTTTTATTTTTTAAAATATTTTTAATTTTTTTTAATTTTATTTATATATTTTTAATTTTTTAATTTGATTTAATTTAAAAAAATAAAAAAAAATTGAAAAAAATAAATAAATCCACGTGTCCGCCATGTGTCGCTGACCTGGCGGGACACCTGGCGGACACGTCACCTCCGGCGAGCCACGCGGACGTCTCCGGTGCCGGAGGACTAAAACAGCGAAAATTTTCACTTATGGAACTAGTTTGCGATAAGGGAGTCCAGTTACGGGATTAAAAATCAGTTTACCCAAAATACAATAATATATATCAAATAATTATTTAATAATTAAAACTATTTAAATATCTCGAAAGAAAATGTACGACTCATTGGGCATGACTAATAATAATAATAATAATAATAATAATAAACAGTTGGATATTTACAAAAATCGAGAACACATTATAGATTTGGCATTGGATTGGATTTACATTATTCATCCAATTTTTTTCCCCCAAAAACATCAAATCAAACATCTATTTTTAATTTTTTATATTATACTAAAAATTAATTTTACATTCAAAATATCGTATCAAGACCTATTTATATCACATCATACAACTATTCAAATTCAAAATTTTTACTATTCAAATCTCAACTCAAAATCCAAACACCCAAACATACACACAAAGTGAACATACCCTTGAAAAGTGTGATACTCTCTTCGTCTCATATCTATATATACATTAGTTTTTTGTACGGAATTTTCGAAATATTAGTATTAAATTAGGATATAGTAGAAATAAATATAAAAAGAGTAAACTAACCTTATTAGTAATGTATAATATAATTGTAACGACATTTGTTTAATATATTGTAAACTGAATGAATATTTGTAATATTAAATAGATAGTACAATTACTAAAAATATTTGAGTAAATTGCAAAAATATCTCACATTTATACCCTATTATCATTTTTGTCCTGTATTTATCTTCTGGACAAAATATATCTCACATGTTTACAAAATTCGTTATTTATGTCATTTTCTCGCGCGTGAAATTCACACCACGTGCCCGCGCGGTCAAAGAATAGAAATAGCGACTTTTGAAAACATGTGGGATATATTTTGCCAGAGAAATAAATACAGGACAAACGTGATAACGAGGTATACGTGTGGGATATTTTTTGTAATTTTCCCTATAATATTTTATATTAAATACCGACATTTTATAAATAAATATAATATATATTATAGATATTAAAAATCGTGTCAAATAAAATTTTGATTTGACACAAACATGAATTATGTAAAAATTAACTTTTGTTTTGTTTTATGAAACCTGAACATTGATTTAGCCTTTAAATAGACACTTGTGCATTGTTCAATTTGCAGAACTCAAGAACTTAAATTAGACAAAAATGGATCAATTGATCTCTCAAGCAATTCTTGCTCTACTTTCAATTCTTGTAGTAATATCTTCGATTTGGTACTTCAAATTGCTGTCCAAATCTGCAGCAAAATCCCCACCAGGGCCATGGGGTGTGCCGATCCTCGGCTATCTCCCGTTCGTCGGGAGCAATATGCTCAGCACATTCTCCAATCTTGCGACCAAGTACGGCGAAATCTTCAAAGTCCGTCTTGGCAATAAACTTTGTGTCGTGATTAACTCACCGGCCCTCGCGAAGGAGGTTGTCCGGGATCATGACGCTGTTTTTGCCAACCGGGATGTGCCTGCCGCGGCCCTTGTTGCCTCTTACGGCGGAAAGGATATTGTTTGGTCTCCCAACAACTCCGAGTGGCGAGCAATGCGAAAAGTATTCGTCCGGGAGATGATGGCCAATAGAAGCCTTGAGGTTTTTTTATTTTTCTTTATTATTATATAAGATGAAAGTCCGTATAACTATTTATACGTGAGATATAGAAAATTCTGTAAAGGAATATAAAAATGATGAATGTGTATATAATGTTTTAAATTTTTTTAGGAATGCGCCATGGGAAAAATTATTAAGAAGAACAAATTCATAGTCTTCAATTACCTGGAAATCATATCGATAGTTATAAATTCACCCCGCATTGTCAGATCATCTCTTATGGGACACATTCAATAGTTGTTTTTTATGACGTATTTAAATTTTGAATTTATACAAAGATGTGTTAGTACATTTTATGGAGAATTTGAGCTTGTTTCGATCTATTTTCAAGATATTATTTCAAGTACGAATCGAGTATATTCTAATTTATTTTTCCCTCCTAACTATAACCACATACATTAAGAGTCTTAATATTTTACACTCAAAGAATGCATCAAATAAATTTTAATTTAGAATACAATTCTCAAAATACAACTATATATTATTATTTTTATTTTTTTGTTCTTGCTTCAATAATTATGTATATTGATATCAATGTATTATTATTGCCTCAAATGTCACTCTCGTAGGGCTGACAAAAGAAGTTTCTTAAATAATGTCAAATTATATTTTTATATTTTAACTTTTATAAAACACTAAAAATTAATTTTATACTAAAAATATTATATTACTATTTATTTGAATTTAGATTTTATTATGCATAACTCAAATATCCCTCCACACATCCAACAAGAGTCTTCAATTCTGTTTACTTTTTATCCTTTTAATTTGGTCTGCGCATCATATATTAATAATTTCCTTTTTTTAAAAAAAAATATATATATCATATTCGATAGTTATATCAAAAATATATATTAAATTTAAAAGGTCAACTTAATATTTATTCACGTCACTTTAAATCAATCTAAACCTTAAATTGACTTTCTATAGACAAATAATAAGTCAAAAGTTAATTCAATATTTCACAATATTCTCTAGTTTTAGTTTTAGTAAGATTTTTTAAATAATATGACTTTGATAATTCTTTTATAATTTAATCTTTACTTTTTTATAATAATTGAATAAATTGTGTTTAAACGGGTAAAAAAGGAAAAAAAAGAATTGTAAATAATTTGGACATTCACTACAAAAAAAAAAAAAAAAATAGTATATATGTAACGGAATTATATCCCTAAATTTCAAGTTGGTAACTTAATTTTATCTTAATCCGGTCTCTAATATCATTAATAATGAAAAAACGTGAATTTAGGAACGAAAAAATTTCGTTACAAAATTGATATTTTTTTTTAATGATTCTAAATTAAAACTAATAGTAAAAGGTTTGAGATAAAATTAGTGTATTAATTGTTTGTTCATATATATTTACTTCTATATTTACTTTGTCGAATAGCTCTCTTACACTCTTCGCAAGACCGAAGTGAGGAAGTCCATTCAACGAGTATACAAGAATGGGAAGGCAGCTGTTGAATTTAGTTTGCTAGCATCTCAAACCACGACTAATGTAATGATGAATATGCTTTGGGGTGGGTTGCTTCAAGGAGACGACGAGGAAATATTAATTGGACAGAAATTTTGCGCGCTCACCCCTAAGCTTACGGATGTGATAGGAAGGCCAAATATTTCAGACTTCTATCCCTTTCTTGCAAGATTCGACATTCAAGGAATACAAAGAGAGACAGCGACCTATTCGCGGCAGTTGGATAATATTGTTGTCGAAATCATTGCAAAGTATAAGAAGAAGTTATCGAGAGGTGTCCAGGTTGAAGGAGAGAAAGACTTTCTTCAAATCTTGTTAGAGTTGCAGCAGAAAGACGGAAATTCGATAGATGACACACAACTCAAAGCCTTGTTGGTGGTATGCTTCATCACTGCATATTTTGAAAAAAAAAAAAAAAGAAGACTTTCTTTAAGATTTGGTTTTGTTCTTGCACTATTTATCAATTTTTCAAATAAAATATTTATCAATTTTGAATGAAATATTTTTTTTGTGTAATATATTAAATAAAAAATATGCATTACATTAAAAACTACATTTTTCGTCGTTTAAATCTATGCTCATTTTTTTCTGTTGTCATAAGAAAATATTTTCGTTCTTTTTTAAGTAAAGAATTATTACACAATTTTTATTATTTTTACTATAAAAAAAAAATAACAATTACTATATACTTATTAAAACTTGTGCTGGTCAAATAAACATACAATTAGATGACGGAAGAAAAAATTCAATTCAAAATTTTACTATTCTTGAGCGTCAAACTCAAGTTCAAACCTTAGAGAAACACCCCCTTAAATTAACAGGACCAAGAATCATTCATATATACCATATTTGATTTTAAATACGATTTGGGTGCGCGTAAATAATATTTGTTATAATATTTTGTCGCGCTTACTCTTGTGGATCATGTAGGATATTGTTACAGCAGGATCCGACACAACTACAACTATAACAGAGTGGGCAATGGCGGAGCTTATGAACAATCCTATAGTTATGGAGAAGGTGCAAAAGGAGTTATCCGAGGTTGTAGGATTAGATAATATTGTCGAAGATCACCACTTGCCCAAACTAAAGTACTTAGATGCCGTTCTTAAAGAAACATTACGCCTACATCCGACAGCACCCTTTTTGGTCCCAAGATCTCCATCCCAATCTTCCATAATCGGGGGATACACCATCCCGAAGGACTCCATGGTTCTCATAAATGTTGCCTACATCCAAAAGGATCCTCGTTTTTGGGATAGTCCACGAGAGTTCAAGCCTGAGAGATTTCTAGACAACGAATGTGATTTTGGTGGTAATAATTTTCATTATCTTCCATTTGGATCGGGGAGAAGGATATGCGTTGGCCTACCCTTGGCGGAGAGAATGCTAATGTATTTTGTAGCTTCACTTGTGCATTCTTTTGATTGGAAATTACCGAATGGCCAGATACTTGATATGTCGGAGGCATACGGGATAGTTTTGAAGAAAAGTGTTCCCCTTGTTGCCATCCCTAGTCCGAGGTTGTTCGATTCAAACTTATATATGTAGATTTATGTCGTTCTAATGAATTGTCAGTTTACTTTATTTATGTTTTGTTGAACGTGAGTTCTTAATGTACGGTTTTATTTATTCATTTTATAATTTATAAAATTATATTTTGATTTTATGAATAAAATATTTGTTTGATGTGATATTTTTTTTTGCAAAATATATAGTTATATATATAATTATAAGATTGTGTACATATAAATTCAATAGAATCTTCTATCTTGATTTTTATTAAAAATAAAACGGAAAATTTGCAAAAAATTATCTTGTATATATATGTCTAATCATCACTATTGTTACTCTAGCAAAATATATTTTGCAAGTGTCACAATTACCTTTTAATTTTTGCATACTTTTTTAGTATTAGTATTTCTCGGTCCCCAAAATTACGATATATCCTTAGCTTTTCTATAGTTTGAAGTAATACGAAATTGCACCTCATCAATAGCCCTCTTTGCTTAGCCATGCCCAAGAGCTCGTCCATAAAATTTTCTTGAGTTAGCTCGGGAACCCTACTTATCATTTCATCTAGCTAGCCCAACATCTTAGTAGGCCGCCGATTGAAATTTTCTGATGACAACGCTAACTTAATCGAAAAAAAAAAAAAAAAAAAATTATGTTCAACAGTATATACATAAAGTAATGAAACTGGAAAAAAGAAAGAAAAGAAAAAGAAATTCATTTGAAAGACATACAATTACATATATAACTTTAAATCGAACAATCTATGATTAGGGATATCCACGAGGGAAATCTTTTCCTCAAAACTATCCCAAATGCCTCCGACATATCAAGTTTCTGATCATTCGGTAATTTCCAGTCAAAAGAATGCACAAGTGAAGCTAGAAAATACATTAGCATTTTCTCCGCCAAGGGTAGGCCAGCGCACACCCGTCTCCCCAATCCAAATGGAAGATAATGAAAATTATTACCACTAAAATCACATTCGCTGCCTAGAAATCTCTCAGGCTTGAACTCTTGTGGACTATCCCAAAAACGAGGATCCTTTTGGATGTAGGCAACATTTATGAAAACCATGGTGTTCTTCGGAATGGTGTATCCCCCGACTATGGAAGATTGGGATGGAGATCTTGGGACCAAAAAGGGTGCTGCCGGATGTGGGCGTAATGTTTCTTTAAGAACAGCATCTAAGTACTTTAGTTCGGGCAAGTGGTGTTCTTCGACAATGTTGTCTAATCCTACAACCTTGGATAATTCCTTTTGTGCATTCTCCATCACCGTAGGGTTGTTCATGAGCTCCGCCATAGCCCACTCTATCATAGTTGTAGATGTGTCGGTTTCCTTTAACCTGTTAATATGCAATTTACAAGTCATTATAAACAAAAAGTAAAGATAAAAAAAAAAAAAAAAAAAAAAAAAAAGAAACCTATCAAAATTATATTATCTAATTAAGAACCCATGCTAAAACTAAAACTAGAAAAAGTAACTAGGAGGAAGGATGCATAATATTGAAATATATTGAAATTTTGTTTCAAGATGTTTATCACTTCAAATTGTCAAAGTCGAATTTGTGTTGAGTTGAGATATGTTTTGAAATCGTTCGAGTTTGGGTTGATTTAAAATTTAAAGATATTAAATAAAAATTAGTTTGAAGTGACATTAATAAATACTAAATGTGATATTTTGAGTAAATATTTTTCTTATGTAATATTTTTATCCAACACGATTTTTTTTTTCAAAAAGAAACTATTAATAAATGATGCGCAAACAAATTTGAGTTTTGCGTTATAAAAATTAAAATTGAATAATTATTTAATATGATATATATAATTATTGATATGATATTTTAAATAGTTATCAATTTTTAATAAAATATATAAAAATAAATATTTAATTTAATATTTTCTACGAACAAAACTCATAAATAATAAAAATGCTTTAAAAACAAATAATTAAGGATCCTCAACTCTCTGACTGTCCATGACATTTACGGGTCCGGGGCGAAAATAAATCAAGGACCCCGATAATTTAATATTCCATATTAAAATTTAATATAAAATATTATTTATTTAAAAGTAATAAAAATAATATTTAATATTGTTTAAATATTAAATTTTTTAATACATGAAAATATAAAATAAGATATTTTAAAAGTAAACACTATTAAAAGATATATTTTATTATAGATTATTTTATAAATAATTATATAAATAAAACCATATATACAATAATAATAATTTTTTTTTTTTTTTTTTTTTGTCATTCAAATTTATGCATATTTTTATGTTGTTATCTTGAAAGCTATGAATTCCTTAACAGAAATAGACCCTAGGCGAGAGCTCCTTCCACGGGATGGCGGGATCATCAGCATCGGGGTGATCCGATCCCACCAACATCATCTCACAATATATATATATATATACGCAATGTCTATGTATAAAAATCTCACAATGTATATATATATATACGCACCCACAGAAGATTGCAAAAAATATTTTCGTAATTATCACTTTTATTCTTTATTTATCTCTCTAGTAAAATATATATCCTACACGTTTACAAAAATCGTCATTTCTGTCTTTTGGCCGCTTGTGATGTTCATACGACATCTGTTTTATGAGCGGCCGGATGACAGAAATGACGACTTTTATAGAGGCATAGAATATTTTGCCAGCAAAATAAATAAAAGATAAAAATAATAATTGAATATACGTAAGAGATATTTTTTACAATTTTTTGGACACACCCATGTGATATGATGTTGGTGGAGCTGAGATCATCCAAATGCTGTGATCTCATAAGTATGACCCCCGAGGGGTGGGTGTAGGTGGGGGGCTAAGTATCCCAGCCATAAAAACTCCCCAACAACCAGTCTTTAAGTTTCTATGCAATCGGGCAACAAATAATACTCCCTCCGTCGTTTAAATCTATACTCATTTTTTTTTTTATCATCGAAAATTTAAAGTAAAAAAATCATTCCATTTTTGTACTGTTTTTTACTATAAAAGAAAAAATTAACAATTATTACTCACTTTTATTAAAATCTGTATCCGGTCAAATGAGCAACATTTGCATGGCGGAGGGAGTAAGAAATTTCGACTTTGGGGGTTTTGTTATTATTTTATTTTATTTTTTTTAAAATATTACATTAATTTTTAAAAAAAAAATTATCAAATTAAATATTAATTTTTTCCTATTTTAAAATTTTCAAAACAAAGATTAGGGATGGAGGGGGGAGGGGGCTTTCCACGTCAATTATTGTGACACCTACGAGTGTGACTTCACACAATAATAATACAAAAATATGACAATGCAAAATTATTGAAGGCTGTTGAGATATTCAGTTTTAGATTTAGTAGATATATATCTAAGATTTGATTTTATTCATAGATTAGATTACTTAGATTTGAGTCTATATAGGCTCCTTATTTTGATAATCAATAAAATAATCTCATTATTTTTCCCCAAAATTTCTAACAGAAGCAATAGAAAATGAAATAGATGATTATTTTTCACATGTAGTCTATTAAATGAAAGTTGACAAGTACTAATAATAATAATAATAATAATAATAATAATAATATATAGTTGTGTTTTGAGAATTGTATTGTAAATTAAAATTTATTTGATGTATGATGCTTAAAATGTAAAATAGTAAATAATTAATGTATGATGTTATATGTTAGGAGGAAAAATCAAATTAGATTATAATAGATTCATAGTAAAATAATATCTTGAAAATAGATTGAAATATGCTCAAATTCTCCATAAATTATACTAACACATCTTTGTCTAAATTTAAAACTTAAATGTCTTTTCAGTTGAAAATGCGTATTGTATCTTAATCGATCGGCCTGATTCGCAAATTATTAAAAAAAATAAAAAATAACTAATAATGTATTCAGTAGGATCTAAGCAATCCCAAGACCCGACTCAATAATGTATTTAATATCCAATACCGACTTAAAATTCAAAATATGTTGGACTGACTCGACCCGGACCCTACTTGAGGAAGACTCGTCAGACCCAACCCAATTAAGTTGGATTCTCACGTTATATATATATAACTCATGCTTAACAATACATACATAAAGTAAACAAACTAGAAAAATGTTCATTAGAAAGACATAGATTTACATATATAAGTTCGAATCGAACAACCTAGGATAAGGGATGGCAATGAGAGGATTACTTTTCCTCAACATTATCCCAAATGCCTCCGACATATCAAGTTTCTGATCATTCGGTAATTTCCAGTCAAAAGAATGCACAAGTGAAGCTAGAAAATACATTAGCATTTTCTCCGCCAAGGGTAGGCCAACGCATATCCGTCTCCCCGATCCAAATGGAAGATAATGAAAACTATTACCACTGAAATCACATTCGCTGCCTAGAAATCTCTCGGGCTTGAACTCCCGCGGACTATCCCAAAAACGAGGATCCTTTTGAATGTAGGCAACATTTATGAAAACCATAGTGTCCTTTGGGATGGTGTATCCCCCAACTATGGAAGACTGAGATGGCGATCTCGGGATCAATAAGGGTACTACCGGATGTAGGCGTAATGTTTCTTTAAGAACCGCATCTAAGTACTTTAGCTTGGGCAAGTGGTGTTCTTCGACAATGTTTTCTAATCCTACAACCTCCGATAACTCCTTTTGTGCCTTCTCCATCACCATAGGGTTGTTTATGAGCTCCGCCAGTACCCACTCCGTCGTAGTTGAAGTTGTGTCGGTTCCTCCTGTAACGAGATCCTACACGATCCACAAGAGTCGATGCAACAAATATTACAACAAACATCATTCATGCACGCGACTCATATTTAAAATTAAATAAGGTATATGGAATGATTCGTGATCCTATTAATTTAAACTTTTACAGTGTGTCGGTTTAACAATAATAAAATTTTGAATTGAAATAATGTTTATATAAATCAGTGTTTAATATAAAATTTAGAATGAAAACTTGTGTTCTTTTCTAATATATTAAATGAAATTTTTATATTTGATTTGATGATTTTGGAAGTAAAATATTAGATAAATAGTGTGGCACCAAAATCAATAATTAAAGAAACAATCAATTTTAATTTGTTTAAATCATGAAGTTAAGCATACCAACAACAAGGCTTTGAGTTGTGTGTCACTTATCGAATCTTCTTCTTTCTCCTTTAACTCTAACAAGATTTGAAGAAAGTCTTTCTTCCCTTCTTCCACGACACCTCTCGATAACTTCTTATACTTTGCAATGACGTCGACAAAGATCTTATCCAAACTCCACAAATAGCTCTCCATCTCTCTTTTTATTCCTTGAATGTCAAATCTTGCAAGAAATGGATAGAAGTCTGAAATATTTGGCTTTCCGACTGCATCAATAAGGTTAGGTATGATTGCGCGAAACTTCTTTCCAATAATTTCCTCGTCTTCCCTTTGAAGTAGTCCACCCCACATTAAGTTGGTTAGTACATTAAGTTGGGTTTCGAATGCTAGCAAATTTATATGCACCGGTGCTCTTCCATTCTCGTATAGTCGTCGAATAGACTTCCTCATCTCATTTTTGCGAAGAGTGTAAGAGAGCTATTCAACAGATCAAAGTAAATATAAATCAATAATGTACTTACTTTGTCTCAAATCTTTTACTACTTTTTATAATTTGGAATGTCCACAATTTGTATACTTTCTTTTTTACACACAATTTTTTTTTGATATAATATGGGAATATGAAATCGCTATTCTTCGAGTGCCTTCTGGGTAAACCCGCGGTCGAACCTAATATCCTATAAACTAAGTCTGACAAGACAAGTCACACTAGGCGAACCATGTGGGGAAGGTGGGACCTAAAGGTGTCAGAGGTTTTTTTTTTTTTTCCTTCTTTTTATTCTCTTATATACAATTTATAAAATCATTTAAAATAAAAACTAAAGATAAAATATTAAAACAAATTATCAAAGCTATATAATTTTAAAAACCATGTTATAACTAAAATAAAATAAAAAATAAAAAATAAAAAGTAAAGGGACGAAGGAAGTATAATATTGGGCCACTTCAAATTTAAATTCAATTCATTAGGTTCATCTCTTCAAAATATCAAAGTCAAATTTGGGTTACGTTTAAATATGTTTTGTATTTTGATGGGTTTATTTGAAATTAATAAAAAGTTAAATAAATACATATTTAAAGTAAGTTAAATAGATACTTGATGAACATATAGTACTTTCAATAAAATATAGAATTTTGATGCAATATTATAAATAAAAATATATATTAAATATAATATATACAAATTAAGATTTGTATTTTGAGGATGAACATATAGGACCTTCAATAAAATATAATATATTTTGCCTAGTATGGGTTACTAGTATAATTTGTAAACCATTACACTCGATCCTATGTTATCAAAAAATATATATATATCTAAACTCAAATAAAGTAAGTGTATAACACAAACTCGAATTGTCAACAATAATTTATTTTTTTTTTAATCCGGAGCTTGCGTAGTATGGATTACTCTGTT